AACAGCATTGTTCCTCTCTTTCCTTCTATAATCTTAATCGTGAAGCCTTTTTGGTAGAATAACTCCTCCAGCAGAATAACTTTTCTTTCTATTCTCATACCACTTACCGGCTGGTGAGAAACCCTCGAACCCTTCTCTTGCAACTGCTACCATCTTACCGGCTAGAAAGCAACAACAACCAGAGGAGGACACCAAGAAAACAAGATGCCAACGAATTCTAGTGCACTTGGAATAAGAGGAAGTTTGTCGATGGCCTATGGATATGGGGAAAAAATCTATTTGTGGTTATTATTTGAAACTAGTTTTTCTCTGTTTGAGCTTTGGTTTACCTCCCCAACAGCCTTCTTGTTCAAAGCACCTTTATTACTTCCTACCTTTTTCGATGAACCTAGAACCAAGGTAGTAGTAGTGTCCTTGTTTCTTTCCTCGCTGAACAGCAAATCCGAACTGAATACATCTTCCTTCTCACCTTCTTCCTAGTCATTTCCCCCACGCTGCCAATGGATGAATCAGTGTTCTCACACAATCTACCCAACCTCCATTGACCTCTTCATTTTCCCCCGCTCAAACACTAGAATATTTGGGGATAGGGCTACCCATAAATGACTGACTGGGTGGGGTGGTCAATGTGAGAACCTGCCTTCGAAAGCCACTAAAAAGAAAAATTCTTCAACACCAGTTTCACATAAGAGCTAGTTGGGGACAATGGTAGATGTGGATTACCATCTACAGTCGCTCCCCTTAAGTTTATAGGGTTTCAATTCACCTGACCCTTTAATGACTCGCATGCTTCCCTCTTGTTCAAACCATAAACCTAGCCTGGTTCACTTGAATGAATCCTTTTCAAAGCAACCAGTTCTGACATAACTGAACCCTGCTTATCCTTAGAACATGGTCCCCCCATGTAGGGTTTCAAGTGGCCCTAGTTTCTAAAGCCTCTACAAAAGATTTAGCTCCCGCTTCCTTTTCTTTTTTTTTATCGGAAATGGTAACTCCATTAATGAGCTTTTGACGAAGTTACCAGTACAAATCTCCCTTTGCAGTCCCTTGTTTTGCTAATGCATCAGCTAAGCCATAAGTTGGATCCATTAGCTGATCTTCTTACCCACTTAAAGAAAGTATCCACCTCCCTAATTATGCTAAAAATTTCCCTTATCAATTGTCTATGTTGCCATATTCTCAGATGACCTGATTGCATCCACCCAATTACCAATTTAGAATCCCCCTCTATTTCACTCTGCTATAGCCCCAATTGTTTGGCCATTCTTACTCCTTGATGCAAGGCCATGATCTCTGCACTTAATGAACCTCCAACTCCTACTGGTCCGTAATATAGAGCCATTATTTTGCCTTCACCATCTCTGAAAACACCTCTTATTCCAGATGGGCCCAGATTACCTATAGAGTAGAGCTCCCATCAAAGTTCAGCTTTACCCTTTGTTGTGTCGGTGGAGACCAAAATTCTTGTACCCCAATTCCTGTAAATGTCTTCAGCTGAGAATTCCTTAAAACAAATCACATGATTTCAACCAATGGATGACCTTAATGGTTACTCCTTCCGCTACATCTTCCTTGGATCTAAAAACACAGTTGAAGATCCTGTTGTTTCTTTCCTCCCATACTGATCACAACATAGCTGCTCTTGTAGCTCTCCACATAACCCTTCAACGCACCTTTGATTGCCTACAAAAAGTTGGATCAAAGAGACTCATCACATTCGGGGGCAAAATCCATCTGCATCCAAAGAGAGAAGAGAACCAAGACCATATAAAGAACATAAAGGGACATGAGATTAAATATAAGTGTATAATCGTCTCACCAGAATCCAAGCAGAGACTGCAAACATGGAGGAAGAGGCACACACACACACACATGATTGGAATGGTAACTTCATTAAAATTAAAACTATGATAACGTACATCTGTCAATTCCTAAGAAGAAGTTGATCCAAGTTACATACTCATTACAGCACTGCCCAAAACATATTCTTCCTTACAGTCCCTTGTTTTGCTAAGGTATCCACTAGCCCGTTTGTTGACCTTGCCCTCTTAAAGCACACACCAATCTCCCTTGTTATATTTATTATTTCCCTTATCATTTGTCTATATTTCCGAGCTCCCAAACAACCTGACTGCATCCACCCCATTAACAGCTTAGAGTCCCCTTCAATCTCCATTTGATGTAGTCCCAAATGTTTGGCATATCTTATGCCTTGAAGTAAAGCCATCACCTCTGCTCTAAAAGAATCTCCTTCCCCTATTGGCCCCGAATACATGGCAATAATTCTGTCTTCCCCATCTCTAAATACTACCCCCATACCTGACAGGCCCAGATTACCTATAGAGCTGCCATCAAAGTTCAACTTTGTATTTTGGGAAGTTGATGGGGCCCACATTTCCTGCACCACAAGCTTTAGGGATGTAGTACTTGCCACCTCACCCCATCTTTTGTAAATGTCATCAACTAAAAAGTCCTTAAACAGTTCACTTGTTTTCAACCAATGAATACCCTTAATAGCTTCTACAATTTCCTCCTTGGATCTTTTAGTATTCTTAAAGATCCTATTATTTCTTTCTTCCCAAATTGACCAAAGAACAGCTGCTCTTGTAGCTCTCCACATTATTCTACCCCGCTTATTCGGTTGCCTGTAAAAGTTTAGGTCAAAAAGGCTTACCACATCCAAGGGAGGGGTCCACCTACAACCAAAGAGAGAAGAGAAACAAGACCAAATAAAAGACACAAAAGGACAAGATATTAAGAGGTGTGTAATTGACTCACCAGAACCCAAGCAGAGGCTACAAACATGGGGCGAAAGGCAAAGGTTTGGTCTTTTTCTTTACAACAACTCCAGAATATTGATTTTTTAGAGTGCAACCTCCCAACAAGAAGCCCAAATTTTTTAAGGTACAGGACTACACCAAACCTCCTTTGTTGGAAAATTCCCTGCAAGGTTAAAGGACTGGAGAAGGACATTATAAAAAGAAGCACAAGTGAAGACACCAAAGGGGGAGGGTTTCCAAATTCTGCTATCCAAACAAGATTGATCCAAATAAACCGACCCTAAGAGAGCACAAGTTCATCCACCATCTCCATTTCCGACTCCCTTAACCCTATCCTCAATCCCAAATCCCAAGAATTATTAATGAAAACAGAAGATATTGCTTTTTCTTTATTGCCTGAAAGGGAGTAAGGGGTAGGGAACCTATCTCTAAGTGAAAACTCACAGACCCAAGTGTCTTCCCAAAACAACACTTTATTCCCTACACAAAGTATTAACTTTTTAGAGTACCACTTCCCAGTAAAAAGCCTGAATTTTTGGAGATATAGGGCTACACCACACCTCCTTTGTTGGGAAGTTCCCTACAAAGTTAGGGGGCTTCCTTTTCTCCTTCAAAAAATTTGAATTATTTACTTAATTAGTCAAACCCCCATTGGACAATTTGGAGGAGGCTTTTCATTTTCCTTCGAATCTTGCCCCACCAAACTTTTTTCCTTCCCCAATCCCCCTTCACGTGTCACCCCACCCAGCCAATCGGCCATCGTCTTCAATCTTCGAACATTTCTTCCACCATGACGCTTCAGATTCTATCAACAACAAAATCTTCAACCATAAGCCATCGGAGAGAAGGTCAATGGCTCGAGGAATATCACTTGATTTCATCCCCACCACTTGAAGAGTAATTGCATGCAAATCACTAAAGTTCCAATTGATGAGAACTCTACCTAGTTTCTTAATGATTGCATCCAATGTAGCTTCATTCCAGAGATTAAAGGGAAGGCCTAATATCTTTAGGGTAAAACTTCCTTGAGAAGCATCCACCTAATTACAGGGCATATGCCAATTTTCAATCACCACCGTACCTTCCATGGTGTCCACTATTTCAAGAATCAAAATGGCCATTCCTTCTTCCACATCCAAGATTGCTTTCCTAACATTAAACAGCATGATGGAAGGAAGAGACTTAAAATTTGAATTTCTCAGGGATGCACTCAAGCTCCTTTCTCCTCAATGATCACCAACTCCTGGTTTTTGTTCGAGGTAAACAAATGAAGTTTCAGAACTACTCTCTGACTTTTCAACCTTCAGTGCCTCCCTATTCGATTGAGACTCAATCAATACTTCATCCCTAGAGCATTCCCCTACTTCCTTCCATCAACCATTTCTCCCTTTGCCCTCTAGAACACAAATATTACCAAAATATTCTACTATAGCTATAAACCAACCATTTCTATTTCTTTTCACTTCTACTTCATATTTCTTCCCCATTAGGCCCAACAGATTCATCCAGCCTTGTTTGACAGTGTAGGAAGCTCCATTGACAAAAACCTTTGAGCCAGTTGATAGCTTCTTCAACTAACAATAATGTAGAACTTTTTCTTCTCTAAGCTTAAACATTGTAACTCCCCTACTTCTTCCTTCCTCAATCAAAAACTTCTTTGCTTCAATCTCCAGCTCCCTTTTCCATCTCATCGCCGACTGAAACTTCCCTTCTCTCTTTCTATCGCTAGGTGTAGTTTCCTAGAAAAATAATTGGGTTAACATTCTTCCAAAGAGGGATATATTGCCAATGAGACTAACCATCCAAAGCAGTATGCTTCAAGTAGTGGTAGGTGTGGTTAATCAATTTGAACAGATAAATGTTGTTCTTTATAGTCATTGGGATGTATGTGTTCCCTGATATTGGCTTGACAATGGAACAGTCCATTATGATGTAAAGACGACACTAACTCTTCAGAATTTGCTATATTAAAAACCCAAGATAAACCAGAAAAATGGATAAAAAATTTAGGTTCTTTGAGCCTCTCACTCCTATGGTCCACCATTCACGTGAGCTGATATAGAATACCTATTGGTTCAGGCATTGCTTGAATATAAAGACACATATACTGAGTCAATGAAAAACAGAGCAACATTTTGGTATAAGGAAATTTGAAAAACAGACTCACTACCTAGACAAGGAACATTACATAATGATGATGAAAAAGGCGCTACAACAAACCTGCTTGCTTCTATCAATGGAAGATGATCGTTGTGTGGTTTCTCTATTACATTCTTTACCTGAAATCCCAAAAATAAAAAAAGAATTAAGATGTTGGATAAATCATTGAAAACTTTCCTATGATTCTATTTCACCATAACTTGAATACGTAATTTTAATTTTAGCTTCTTCTTGCACTACCTCCCACTTCCTAGTTTTGTTTGGTAACTTGCATCAAACAAGATAAATTTTGAATTCTGTATTTAATTTAAACAAATCTGATGCACCAGATCACCCCACAAAACCAGAAAAGCATTTAGCGTGTTCATAAATTTATGGCATATTTTTTTAAAATGATGTAATTTAATACACATGCAGATAAAAAAAGATATTTCATTTAGAAAAAGCTTTATATTAGAAGCTTACATATCATTAAGAGTTGAAAACAAAAGATATATTACTAATTAAGTGTTCACCAAATAAAACACCACATATCTGATCTGTGGATGTAAAAGGGATGACACAAATAGAAAATTTCAGCATATTTTTAACTCTTATGCCTCAGTTTCAACTTTGGCAGTTGTATAACCAAAATTAGTTAAGGTAAAACCTGCAGTTGGTATTAAAAACATGCAACATAGGAATGAGGTTTCTACAGAATAGATACCAAAACCCAGATAGATCAGTGTTCCAGAGGTCCCAGACACTTGAACAGGTTTCAAATGTTCAGATATCAATAGGTATCCTACACAACAACCACTAAAAAATTCCAACACATGGGCATGACTATACAAAAGATTTTTAAATAATTAGGAATATAACAAAATAGAAAATACAAGAAACAAGTATAGTGCATGATACCACTCATATGCTATTCTAGAAACCCTCTCTTCTCTGTAAAACCCTCTTGCATATCCTTCTTTTGTTTGTTTTATCTTTGCCATAAACCTGGGTAGATGTAAAAAGAAAATGATACAGTAATTCAATCACATCTTAATCACATAAGACAACCTAAACCTTAAGTTTTGATAAGAGTCTAAATACATCTTAATGTACTGTCTACAGCAGTTTGACACTTCTATGAATAGGTTTCCCAAGCCAGCACACACATCAAGCAGTGTCTTGCAGTATCTGGGAGTGCCATGTTGTGTGAAGGCGCTTGACACTCCTAAACTGTTGCAAGCCTGCTGCATGGATCAGATAGGAACAACCTTACTTTTTCCCTTCTTAGGTGAAATGCTACAAAGAGAAAAAGAGTCAATGGATTGGTAACAGATTGGGTCAGAGAGATAACTGGTTTGTTTTGAGAGGTAAACTTTCCTCAAGAGAAATCAAGCATTATGAAACAGCACATCTTATTGATAAACAAACCTTATCTTTGAAATGGTGTTGCATAAACTCCTAAATGGATGATGTGTGACACACGATGGAGTTAACTCTCCACGGATTCTCAAGGGCACCTACAAGTAATATTTCCTTTTTATCTCCTAGCTTAATAGCTAATGTACAATATGAATGTCATTTTTCATATAAAATGCTACTCAGTAACAAAAGCAACATCTGTTGCAGATATATAATTTTGGAATTCAAAACATATGAACTACTTTAATGGATACTTTTCCATAGACATGTTCGTGAGTCCATATTTTCTTATCTTTCTGAGTCAGACACTTGGACATACAACACATTCCAACTCCCATGTGCATGTCCATGCAACAACATTTTTAAACAGACTCCTTTCAATGACTAACTTAGCACAATTTGAACATGGGCTAGATATACATAATCATGCCTTCAAAATAGACACATTCTAAACCAAAAAACTTAACCACTTACAACTTACTCTTTACACTCTTTGACCCAATAATTGACTCATCAATACATTACCTCAGACATGTGCAGATGAACTTACATGATTTAACTCACAAACATACCCCCGCCCAAACCACACCTTTGTCTCAAGGGCACTGCTAAGGCAGGCATTTCTTGTTGTCTATGGATGGTATAAGGTTCTTACCTTTCAATTCTTGACAAAAATAAGCCATAGGCCTCTGATTTTTCATTAATGGCACCCCAAGCTGGATGCATCAAATTCAACAACAAAAGGCTGCTGGAGGGTGAGGACAAGTGATTGTGTCATGTGAAGAATCCTTATTCAGTACCACTGTTAATATACTGGTTATGGGCCAAGAAACCCACAAAGTGCTTTGAGGGTGGGGGCTTGGACCACTCCACCATAGTTGTGATCTTGTCAGGGTCCATGGCTAAACCACTAAACCATTTTTGAGATGGTATGCCCCAACTTTTTGTTGAAATCGAAACAAAGGCCCTTGATGCGTCAATTGGAGTTTTGTGGGGGCCAGGTTTTTGATTGCTGGCAGAAGTTGCATGGTAGGATAAGATTCAAGGCGACTGATGTAGTTCTCTTAGTTTCCAAGGGGAAAAGGAGATGTTGGGTCACTCCCTTGGCTTTGTGGAGTCCAGCTAGGCTCACTACAACAAAGAGAAATTTGGGCCTTAATGCCAGGACTTTGGCCCAGATGTTGTCTCTGAACTCACTAATAAAATACCCCACCTTTTGTGAAGTTGTTAACCCTCCAACATGGCTGAGTAGTCTCACAAATTCATTTTGGTAATCCTGAACAGTCACATTTTGGCCCATACCTTGCAAGGAGTCCTTGAAGGTGTCCCACATGATAATGATGTTTTCCTCTTTCAAGAGCTAGTACCATAATTGGGCCCCTTCCTCTAGTAGATTGCTGCCATTGGCACACTTTCTTCCCCCAGGGTTAGCTCTAACTCAAAGAATCGGGTTGCTTGGCATAACCAACTAGTGGGGTCTCATTCCATTTAAGTGGGCTCAAGCTTCACTATTTTAGGTTGGTAATGACTGGTGGAGTTCATTGGTCCCCATCTAAAGGCCTCCATGAACTGCTCAGCTCCTACCCTTCCTTGGTTACGGGAACTTTCTCCGAAGTCCTGCCCACAACCACTAAGGGTTTGATCAATTTTGTTGCTCAATGTCATAAACATCTATTGCACTTTTTGAAGCAATGTTTCTTGCCCCATAGCCAGTGAATTGACCTCTTCCAAACTATACAACTGGGGACCCTTGTGGCCTGGCTTTTTTTTTGGTTGGCATGGCTCTAATACCAAAATATCAAACCGTTGCAAGATTGCTGCATGGATTGAGGTAAGATATACTTGTATTTTCCATTCTTAACTATGGTGAAGTGCCATGGAGAGAAGAAGTCCTACCCTTCCTACCCTTCCTTGGTTACGGGAACTTTCTCCGAAGTCCTGCCCACAACCACTAAGGGTTTGATCAATTTTGTTGCTCAATGTCATAAACATCTMTTGCACTTTTTGAAGCAATGTTTCTTGCCCCATAGCCAGTGAATTGACCTCTTCCAAACTATACAACTGGGGACCCTTGTGGCCTGGCTTTTTTTTTTGGTTGGCATGGCTCTAATACCAAAATATCAAACCGTTGCAAGATTGCTGCATGGATTGAGGTAAGATATACTTGTATTTTCCATTCTTAACTATGGTGAAGTGCCATGGAGAGAAGAAGAGTCTTGATGAATCAGTGACATAATAGATGAGAGAGAAACAATTTATTTGAGAGGTAGAACCATCCTCAAGAGAAATCAAGTATGATGAAAATAGTACAACTCATTAATAACAAAGTAATCTTTTAAGCAGACTCCTTACAAACTAATAAAAAAAGTCAAACTCCTTACAATGACTAAGCATGATCCAAACGTGGGCTGAAAATAAGTAATCATCCCTGCTTTAAAAACATTCTAGACACATAAACTTGACAACTAACTCACAAGATTTTTTTGATCCAATAACTGCCTCATTTGTGCTTCTTAAATTACCTTAGACCATAGTTGTCAAGCAGACGCCTAGGCGCCCTTGGAGGCTGGCCTCGCCCAGCCGCCAAGTAGTTTTGTGCAGTATGTTATAAAATACTTTCATGTTTTTAATTTTTTGACATTATAATTATAAAATAGGCATTATTAAACTMGAATATTCATTTTATGTGTTTATGTACTAATTTCTTTTTATTATTTTCTTATTTGTTAGGGTTTAATCAACACAAACATTGCTAACTGCTGTATTGAACCCATGGGTCAAAGTATCGATACTGCCCCTATTTTTTTATTCCTTTGGTTTTCAATTTCATATATATATATATATATTTAAAAAATGGGCTCCCTAAAACACCTGTAAACATGTGTATTGGGGCACCAAAGATACAATACAATACACCCGATACAGGGCATATCGTATCAAAGTTTTGATCCTTGATTCAATCCTCAAAGATTTCAGAACCTGAACCAATAAGCAAGAGAAGAACTTAAAATTGTGTCTAATCAACACATTTTCTTCTTACAGATCTTCTTCCACCTTTTCTTTTCTTCTTTTCCTATAACAAAAGTAGGGGTTCAGCCCCTATATTTTTTTACTTTTCTTTCCTTTGTTCCTTTTGTTCTCATAAAATGTTGATTTTCTAAACTCAAAACATGAAATTTATACTTCTCTTATGAAAATTATGGACAATTATTAAGGAAAGATGGTTATGGAACCTAGGGAACTACCCTAGGATATATGGTTTTACTTAAAAAAAACCGATCGCTCCGCCTAGGTGACAAGGCGCCGCCCTATCGCCTAGCCTCGCCTTGGCGTCTTAAAAACTATGCCTTAGACATGCACACATGAACTTTCATGCTTTCACAAACCCTTGGATTTAAGGTTTCAAGTAACATTGAATTACCTTATATGTGCACATGTGAACTTGCATGCTTTGACAAACCCTTAAGGTTTAAAGTAACATTGTGATTTGTGATAGCCTTTCATGGCTGCACGGTTATAGACTCATTTTAGAACCTACAAATAGCATTTTTTTTGGTTGGGGTTGAGAAGGGGGGAAGTGCCATAAAGAGGCACAAGACAGAAAAATGTCCCCACCATATAGACATTATGTATCATAATTTGCACATGGCAGGTATGCTGAATTCTAAAAACCAAAATGACCTGGGGTTGCATGTCTACAAGTTAGCTTGGAATAAAAGGTTTAGATTAATTAAGAAATAAATTGCATAAACTTATAGGAAATGACATAGTGGAGAAAAAGAAATTACATAAACATGATAGCGTGTAATGCTAGTAGTATTGGGATGAAAATAATGGAAGGGAAAAAACATATAAGCACAAAAAACATGACATAGGAATAGAAACAGAATGTAGTAGATAAATTATTTAATGAAGAAGCAAGCACAATACTGTCAATAATTGATACAAATTCAGACCCTTCAAGGAAACTAGGCTGTGACGCTCTCCCTCACTACTGTGCTTTTGCATAAAAAGGAAAGGTATTTTCTTCTCTTAATTTGAAACTATTCACACAGAAAGAAATGATGAGATGGCAATTTATGGAAAGAATATTTTTTCACTTTTTCCTTTTTTATTTTTTGAGCACCTTGCCTGCCATGCTTAGGGTAGAAATAGTCAATGCTTTAAAAATAAGGTTGCTGAATTAGCTCTATCCTGAATTGCCCATGCGTTGAAAATCTGAAATCTGGTCAATGAACCATCCAAATAACCAGATCAGAGGTTTTACATTTCATTTTTTTTTGTATTTTTCATATATCTTCCCTATTTTCACATATTTCCCCTATCATGCATTTTTTTGTAAAATCACAGGTGAACAATCCAATGAGATGGTTTACAAACCAACAAGAAACAATGGATTTCTGGTTTCTAAAACTGGGTGCATATTTAGAGTAACATCAATTTAGATCTCATCTCATATATTACTCACCAAGTACAAACTCTTGGTTTCTTCAACAAAGACATCAAACAAATTGATGAAAAGATAAGCACTAGTTTTAAAGCATATATTTGACATCAAGCAAAAGATAGAGAATGCAAATACCTTGGAAAGTAACTCCTGACTCTCAGGGGGTTGCATTTTCAGACTTTGAGGTAAGATTACAGTAAGCAGCTCTGGTTTCTCAGCTCTTAAAGCACCTCTAATAACAGCAGCATTCGTGCCTGATGCTCCTGATGTAAAAATGTGATTTTTCTGTAACATAAATGCAGATATTAGAAAACTTGAGAGAAAATATAGAATTCCAGTTGCTATGGTCCACATATAAGTTGCTACTTGCTAGGCTTGCCACTAGATGATTCTCCCCTAAGATTCCTATACATGAAACAAACTTTTTTTATCAGACCTGCTCCTAAAAGAAACCAATTGGCTGTCTGAGTTAATAATCAGTTTTATTAATTGACCGTCATAATTTCTATTCAGTACCTAGTTGAGTCCTTCAACACACCTTACCACTTCAACCCACAAAATTTACAATAAGGGGGATGCACATCAGTACACATTTGGCATGGGTAATGATCTAACAGCATGTAACCACCTAGTAATCTCTGATGAGCAGTTGATCTTTTGAAAGGCATGCTATGTAAAGGTTACAATAATCAATAGTGAAATAATTCGAGTTTCTCTAATGTAACCAACTGAATATTGATCCCACCCTTTGCATGCTTTCCATGTGCATTAGTATGTCTGAGAATCTCTGCAATCCATGCAAAGATAGCTTAATTTCTTTGCAGAGAAACATAGAAGGCAAGTAAAGATAGAATGCCATACAGTTATAACCATTGCATAGCTAAGAATCTCGATAAGCTCTTGGTGCAAGAAACCCATATTCCGTGTTCCAAAAAAGCCTATTGCTCTTGGTCCTCCTTGTTGAATGGCCAATAACTCCTTCATAAAGTAAGAAGACAGTATTACAAAAAGAAAAAGCCAAACAACAAAATGAAACCATATTTTCTAAGAAGGATACCAATAACCAAATTTCAATCACGTTGTACAACCAAAGGGGAAAAGAAAGAAGGAAATATCGAGTCAAAGGCTACAATAGGAGGATGGTAAGGTATTGTCCTCCTAACTCTGAGATGAACCCTTTATTTGAGTTTCCTTTCCCACAAAAGAAATGTGGCAATTTAAAAAGTGACCCAATTCCATAACCCTAAAGAAATAAGCTATAAGCTCTTTTAAGATAGTAGAATAAATACTGGAAATATTTCTGGAAGATATCTTTCAAGTCAGAATAATTAATATCAAATGGTCCAGTCATAAATGGATACAGGAGTACTCCTTTGTAAGAAATAATTAATCGAATTAAGCCATATAAGATGAGGTTTTGTCATTCAATCCAACCTCAATTGCAAATTCATCAAAACAAAAGAAATAAAAGAGAGGAACTGAAGCAATAATTGTTTAGTTTGATGATGACCAGTATGGGGTGGATTTGAAGTCTTTAACAGGGTGTGATCTGAAAGTGCCAAACTTTAGAAACAATAAGTACCTGTAAGTAATCAACATCTGGGGTGGATTTGAACTCTGACACAAGCAAAGACCCTGACCCTTCCACAACAGATTGAACCTGAGTTGGAACTTGTGTAGCCATCTCTTCATTAGATCCAAACATGTGCACCTTGTTCTTCACTTCATTTCTCTGACCATCCAGATCTTGGTCCTTTTCCACATATCCATAAAATCATTATTGAAAAAAGTAAGACAATAAAAGAGGGGGAAGCATCATCTTGTGATAAATGATTAGTGAAACCCAATGTCATGAAGCTGATTTTACAGGTCATATATAGAAGTTTAGACAAATTAATAAAAAGCACAAGTATAATTATGGCCGTTCCAATTTTCAAACAGAACATTCGTACAAATCAAGTGCATGCAAGGCTGGGACCCATCATTTTATGTACATAAAACGCAATCTCCTGGGATTATAAATGAAACCAATCAAGTTGTTCTTACTATCAAGATAGACAGACCTTTTGGACAGTGAAAAGTTTGATGAATGACCAAATAGGAAACTATCAAACCAATGATCAGAATAAATAGATTAAGTTGGTCATTTATCCAGAAGACGCACAGAAGACACATCAAAAATAGGTTAACCCCTTGCATGTGCATCATATACATTCCATAAATTCACAGTAGATCTTTCTGCTACACAATCTGGTTTTTGAGATGCAAACAAGGTGAAACAGAAGACTGCAGCTCTGGACTTCGAATTAAACATCACTAAGAAAACTGCTCTTTAACTTAGCTTTCCAAATGAAAAATCACATCATATAGTAATATGAAATGAGGATTTCAATACATATTATGAATATGATTAAAATTATGTCCACCCTAAATCCTAGTTCAACAATTAAACCATTATAACAAAATATAAGAAATCGACAGTCTGACAAAGACATCGCATCATAATGGGTCAAGTCACCTTCAAATATCCAGTGCCCTTCCTAAACGGGTTCAATTGCTTACCTGATCCCAGGGACAATAAAGCACAGGTAAGCCAGGTTGTTGAAATATTTACCTGGTTGGATCAGGTAAATCAGTTTTAGACTGACAAAATATCGGTGTATCACCCTAATCAAAACCATTAATCATTTGGGAGGAATGTACTAGCCCAAACATCTATTGTCATGCAAGTGGAACCGTGGAAGACAGGTTGGCCCATTGGGTCAAGCCTTGCCACCTTTTAGTGTACCATGAATACACTAAATAAGAAAGCAACATGCAGTTGGAAAAATCTGAGAAAAAAAACATCTTGTCATCCATGAAAGATACAATACAAACCCAGACAAAAGTTGGTGTATGTTTAGTTGCTATAACCGAAACTAAAAGATTTTGACTTCCCCCTGTAGAACCTTTCTTTACCTGCTCGGTTCATATAGAACCTTTTTGTGTACACCCCCAGGCCTAGCGACCCATGTAGTAAACATGGTGGGGATGGAAGGGACTCTTCATAGCAGAAGACATTTTTYTGGTGAAACATAGCAGAAGAYACCAGTGTTTTTATAACCAAAATAAACTACAGAGTTAAAACATACCACCAAAATAAGCAACGAACGGCAATTCAAAAGGTATATCTATTTTCTTGTAGATGCGAAATAGAAAAAAAAAATTCAGACTAAAGAAAATATGAGATTTTAGAATCCCATCAAAAGTGCAAAAACATACCAATGCTCCATTATTCATCATACAATCAAGGAACATTACTTCAAGAAAGAAATAAAAAAAAAATGCAAAATGGCAGAGCTCATTCCAAATAAGAACGACCAAACCCAACGCCCATGCATAACCCAAAAATTTGCCCATCCTAAACCGAAAACAAGAAAGAAAAAAACAAAAACAAAAAAAAAAAAACTTCCGGAGCACCATTATATATCACAGGAAGAGAGAAAAAACAAAACCCAAATATCTTATACTTGCAATAAAATGAATCCGAACAAAATACAGATAGAAAAATACCGTATGTCTTGAGTGGAGGCTTCTTGTGTTGTGTGAAAATTTCCTTGTTCCGACCCATTTACCATGTGTAAAAGAAGAAGAAGAAGGAAGAGAAGATGGCCTCAATGGGTTAGGGCTATTAGGGTTTTGGGAGAAGAAATTGGGATTTTGAAAGAAGGATCCAAAGCCTCTTGGAGTGAAATCTGAACAACAGAAGGCCGTATTTAGAGGCAGCAAAAGCCCCAGGGGAGTAGTCATTCTTCTCTACCCCTACCCCTGCCTAAATTTCTGAGCAGCAACCTTTCTTTTCCTTAATTTTTTATTTTCTTTGAACTTGGAAAGGAACGAAGAAAGAAAGATTTGATTGAGAAAGAGATAGAAACGAGAGGTAGAAACAGAGAGAGACACACATATTTCAAGAGAAGAAAATATGAGTATGTTCAGAGGAATGCAATGCCAAGGCCACGAATTAGCCCATCTCCAAGCTGACATTAGTGGCCCACAAGGAATGTTACGCCACGGTGGCCCACATAGCATGATACGAGGCGGAAGATGAAGCATTTGTAGAATACACGGATCTCGGACAGCTCGTAGTCTGAGAAAAAGAGGAGAGAGAAAATTTGGGTGGCGTTTCCTTTTTCCTCCTTTTTTTTTTTTTTGTTACCTTTTGAGTTTTGTGATAAAAAGGAACTTTGCGAGAGAAGAAAGGTTTTTTTTTCCACCTTGCCAAGCTCAATCTGGACCGTCAGATTAATGACCAGTTTGAACACAATATTCCGGATATGCAGAATAAATACATCTGTAATCTGTTGTAGATCTTAACGTACAATTTGGTGGGACCCTTACATTTATTTTCATTTATATCAAAGAAATGTGAAAGTTCAAAACCTTAAAAAGATCAAACCAAACCCATTAGGGATCCTCATCAATCACTAATGGTTATTGAATTATTGCGCATATTTTTATTATATTGGTATTTTATTTTATTTTTATTTATTAAATTAAATTCACAACTATATTATCTTTTTCAAATTGGTGGATCCCACTTAGGGGTGTCGTCACGAGCCCAGTGCTTCACGAGCTACTCGAGCTTGATTCAGCTCGGTTTCAAATGAGCTTTGAGCCAAGTTCGAGCCTAATTTACACGTTCGATTAATAAACGAGTCGAGCTTGAGTTTAATAGAGTTCAGCTCGTGAGGTTTGTTAGCTGAGTTCAAATATTTTATATATAATTTTTAATATTTTTATATATAATAATATTATAATGTTTTTTATATATAATAAAAATATTATAATTCTTAATTTTTTTAATATCAAATAAAATTTTCTCAAATCAAGCTCAAGCCGAGCTGAGCTCGAGCTCAAGGTTCTAGCTCGAGCCTCGTACTATTCAGCTCTGCTCGGCTTGAATCAACCCAGATCCCTCTCTCATGAGTGGAAATGTGAATTGAGATGCCATTCTCACATGTGGTATTTCGTAAATGTGCACATGGAAATTTTTTATGATGATTATAGTAAAGAATATGTTTTTAAAATTTTGTATATTTTTTATATTTCTATATCTATAAAAAAAAATATTTTTATTTGTCACACTCATATGATGAATAAGTGATATTAGAGATATGTCTAAATATTTTTTACATTTTCCTTAGTACTTTTATATGTTTTTATCTTCTTTAATTTTTATTATTACTTAATTATAATATAAAGGATTCGCACATTTGGCCCAAAAATATTGAATTGATGATTTGCCATCGAATAGGGAAGCAATTCGATTTTGGGGTTATTTTTAAATTTGTATTTTATTTTTATAATCAATAAAATAATTACTCTTTATCACACTTATTTTTCTTTAATATGGTTAATTAATATAGGATTCAAATGGGAGTTAAGACCAGGAGTATTAGATTTAACAAAAGATATTTGAATGAGGAAAAATATAATAGTTCAAATTACATTTTGTGCCCTCACAATTAGAGAGGGACCAAATTCAAAAATAGGAATTTTCTAGTCAAAATAGGATTCAATGAATGGAAATGGGCATTGATACCTTAAATATAAGACTTAATGAGAGAGATTAAATTGAATGAGGAGAAAATGATTGTTCAAATTATATTTCCATCCATACAATTAGAGATGGACTAAATTCAAAAAATTATGAATGTTTTAGTCAAACAAAAGTTCCATGCCATTATTCATATAGATGTATAGGTATAGATTTAGGTTTATTTATAGGGGTGAGCATACTTAGGTTAAAACCGAATAACCAAACCAAAATTTCAGGTTTGGTGATTTTGAATCGGTTAGTTCAGGTATTTGATTCAGTTCGGTTGTAAACATCGATTACTTAGAAGTTTGGGTTTCTGATGTTGTGCAATCTGGGCACTCCTAGCTAGCAACTGACTGGTTCCTATCTGGTGATGGACAATACCTGAGAAGAAGACAGTGAAGGATTCCCGGGGGACTTGCTCGGTGGGAATACTCCGATGCTTAAGTTAGAACGCTGAAAAAAGCAGTAAAGAGTGCAAAGAAGGCTAAGAGTGCAGGTCGCGCTAGATCACTAAATATTCGAGATTAGCTCGAGACAAAGTTCAAATATGTTCAAGATACATTTTCCCCTTCGACCATGGGGTTCTTAAATATGAGCGTTCTTGTAAAATCGGGCGTAACCACCACTAGACCTCTGTCGCAGTCGTTATTTGCCAGGTCTGCGCAGGTAACCATTGTAGAGTACTACCCAATTGGATGAGTGACACATCCCGGAAGGACAGACACGCCACCATTTGTCGAGAGACGTGGGTGCAGTCTGTTGAGCTGGCAGGGACTGCGCGGCCAGTCAAGAGACGTGGTGCAGTTTGACGGGTACGGTCTTGTCAGATAGAAGCTTCCTGAAAATGTCGCGTCGCTTAATAGCAAGTTGCCTTGCAGCGAGCTATCCCATAGTGAGCCGCCTTGCAGCGAGCTATCCTGTTGTGAGCTACATTGTAGCGAGCTACCTTGTAGCGAGTTCTTAGGGGTACTTCGAGGTGATTCCTCTTGAAGTGGCCCTTGAGACAGTTTTTCTACCTAAGTATTGGAGCGAGCTGGTTATCCTAGCTCGCGAGCTGGGATAGACTTGCCTTGGAGTATTCCCTTTTAGTACATCGGGGTCATCGGATTCGCGCTGTAGTGAGCTCATTTTGTGGCGAGCTGTCCTGCAGGCTTGTTACTTAGTCACGGTTAGGCTGTTGCGCTGAGTTGTTACTTGTGTTGAGTCATGTCCACGTGTCACCGTCTCAAGGGGTTGGGTCAAATCACCCTCCATCAATTGCCCCCCACACCTCGGGCTAAGGGTGCTACCTTAGCGTGAGGAGTTCATGAAGTGTGACGGGTGGATTTGACCCGAAGTTCAAACTTGATTGACTGCTTGCATTAAATACGCGTGCAGAAGTCAGGGGGTCTCTAGACCTTTTGAATGCCAAAAAGCGCGCCGAAGCAGCTCTTAACTCCGGAAGTCGTGCAGTCGTCATTGCCTCAATCATGGGAGACGTGCAGCTAGTCACGTTTTAGCTTTAGGAGGCGTGCGGTCAGCTTGACTGTGAACCATCATATCCGTCTTAATCCAAGCCGTCGATTCGAGGGCACAGTGGCTATAAATAGGAGGGCCCCAGGCCTCATTTCTTTTATGCTTTCGGATTTTGAGGTCACGTCTTCATCTAGCTGCTCAAGCTCTTCTTCTGTTCACACCGTCTTTTCAGTTCATCTCTTCCCTGGTGAGTCTTATCATTTTGTTAGTATGTCTAGGAATCCGTACCGCGTCTTTTCCAGGGGTGATGACCAAGATGACGCCCCCTTGAGCTCAGTGGAAGCTTGGGGGCAGGCTCCGGAAGCTCGGGAGGCTTCTGGCGAGACTGCTTCTACCTCTCGGGGCAGGGAGCCAGATAGCTTTGGTCCTTCCTCCATGTCGATGAAGAGACTTAGGACCTTGGTTCTCCAATTTAACCTCTCCAGAGACCTTCTGAAGAGTCTCCCTTTCAGCAACTATCCCTGGGAGCACGGTCCTGATGAGATAGTGATCTTCCAGGAGCAGCTCATCGCTGACCTCCGTCTTCCTCTGCATCCTCTGATAGTGGAGGTTTTGAATCACTTCAACGTCACTATTGACCAGCTTCACCCCAACTCCATCCAAAATGTAGTTGGGACTATCTCTTTATTTTATGAGTATTGTCTTCCCCTTAACCTTGACATCCTTTCCACCATTCTTTGCATCAAGAATGCTTCTCCCGGAGTGCCTCCGAAAAAGGCATTCCTACTATTTTTCTCCTCGACGCGGCTTCAAGCTCTTATACGAGCTGTCGAACAAGATACCGGCCTGGAAGCGGGACTATTTTATAGTTCGCAAACCCGAAGGGTGGCCCTTACCAACTCACTGGAGGGCCGCCATCCAGGATTCGGGGGTTGACTTGGACCACAAAGTTCGAGAAATGCTGCAATCCTGGGCAGCGGTTGGCTTCCATTGGTCGGACTACTTGACCGAGGACAAGCTCGCGCAGGTCGGCCTGAGACCGGGTAGGTTGCCTTTTAGGTTGCGTAGCGCCTTGTGATTTTTTTTTTTACTGGACTAATACCTTGTGATTTTTGGCAGCCATCTTGTCTAGTGTAGATGCACGCCACCTTCTGTCCAGCAACCAGAAGCGCAAGGCAAAGAGGTCACGTCCCGACCGAGCTTCCACTTCTGGGGGCGCTGAGTTCGAGTCTACTGACCTAGCCTTCACTTCTCCACCGCCCGAGGTTCCACCGGTCCAATTCGAGGGAGTTGCCATGGAAGGTAGCCTTGAAGAAGGCGAGCTCTCGGGGCAAGGGAAGTTCCCTCCGTCTGGGCCATCCCACCCCTTGCTCTTCATGCAGTTCCCTACCGGGAACTAGGAGAGTGTCACTGACTTCACCATGGCATCACGAAGGAGCCGAAGGGCGGTCTCCCACGAGGAGGTCCCCAATTGGGGAGGGGTGGACCCCAAGCAGCTTGCCAGGCTAGCCTCTGCCTACTGCATGGTGGTAAGTGGCCTTTCTCTTCCTTCTCTTTCTTTTCTCTCCTTTTCTCTTTTCTGACCTTAGTCTTTTGTTGGCAGGTGAACTCCGCCATCAACGCCATGGCCCTCCATACCAACATTCACTTCGGCAATGCTCGTGCTTAGAGGTCAATCGTGTAGAAGCTCTAGGGCGACCTTGACCGGGCTCGAGGTGAAGTCCTTCAGGCTCGAAAGGGGTGCGAGGCCCAGGAACTGCTCGTCCGGGACCAGGAGGCACAGATCGCCCGGCTATCTAAGGAGAGTGCTCGCTACCAGGAGGAGGAGTCGAGGGTGGCAGTGGAGAGAGAGCTTCTTCGCCAGTAGGTTCGAGACTTGGAGTCCACGCTTCAG